AGAAGAAGGTATAAGGGTGTAGATGTGTGTATGTCTAGAGGAATGTATAAAGGTGTAGAAGTGTGCATAAAGGAGTAGAAGGGTGTACAAAAGTGCATCAGTGCGTATCAGGATGTATATAGGTGTAGCAGTGCGTAGAAGCGAGTATAAGGATGTAAAAGGGTGTAGAAGTGTTTTGTGTGTGTGTGTGTGAAGAGGAGATAGGGTTGGGGGTTATATAAGGGTGGGTGTGTTTAAGGGGAAGGAAAGGGGTGTAATGCTGGTTGTGAAGGTGCTTGTGTATGTGTGTGTGTGTGTGGGGATTGTGTCGAATTGATGGCAGGGGCGGGGAGGGGGGGGGGGTTGGTGCGTCTGTGTGGGGTGTGTCTATGCGTATCCGGGGGATGTGCGGATGCGTGTGAAGGGGCGATGGCTGAGGAAGACTTTGTAGGTGTGTGGTGGAGGAGGGGAGGGGAAGGGAGGAGGGGGAGGTGTGTGTATGTGGCAAGGATGTTTCTGTAGATGCGTGTTAGTGAAATTATATCAAGAGTGAGAATGTACTCGTTTGACGTTCCTATTTATTTTTTCGATTAATTGAGCAAAGAGATACAGAGGAATATATATACATCCTCCATCAGTTGAACGAATTGACAATTTCCGATCACCAACTCACTAATAAACGAATATTCTACAATGCTCTCCAGTAACAAACAGTATCATACAGCATCACATAGTATCATAAAATACCATGCAGTGCTAACGTGTCGTAAAACACCACACAACGTCATATATCACACGATACGACGCACTGACATTAAACGATATAGCAGACTCACAGTCCCATCGACCACAAGGAGGTCACCGCCGCCACACGTCACATCCACTGCCACTGACCCAAGGTTGGCGATTTCACTGCCAGGGCAAGCGAGGGTCAGCTGAGCGCCTGCCGATACCCTGTGGAGATGGGAGGTAACGGATCGTGTCAGGAAGGATGGTTAGAAGAAAGACTATAGTGTCTTAGGATCTGCAGGAAGGATGGTTAGAAGAAAGACTATAGTGTCTTCAGATCTGCAGGAAGGATGGTTAGAAGGAAGACTATACTGTCTTAAGAACTGTAGGTTCTCCTTTGAGATTAGAATGTGAAAAAGGCTAAATGATTCTTTAAAGACTTTTATTTAATTTTAAAAGATTCTTTTATTTAATAATTCTTTAAATTCTTTATGATGAGTGAAGGAAATTCTGGTCTCTTACAAATTGAATTTCAGTATTCAATAAACCTCTTCCTCTCTATCTATCTCCCTGGTTTATTTTCCATTTTCATCTCTATCCCTATTTCCCCCCTTTATATACACTATCCTTTTCTCTAAGTTTCATTCTTTCTTTTTATCATCTTTTCCTTCTTCTTTTCCCCTCTACCCTCTTCTCTCCCTTTCCTTAGCACCTCCTTCTAATATTTCTTTAAAAGTAAAACCTGGTTATTAAGAAAGGTTATGTTTGAAAATATGTGCTATGCTTTATAACCTTGGTCGCTGTAATTAGTAAGAGAAGAAAAGGATTTCAACAGATCGAGAATTTTGATTTTATGACTTATTGTTACACACACACACACACATATATGTGTGTGTGTGTGTGTTTGTGTGTGTGTATGTGTGTGTGCTATCTATTATAACTGTTACGATGGTTATTTAGATTTTGATTTGCAAACTGCCGAAGGTTTTTTTTTCCCAATTACTTCCTCAATTAAATTAATATTGATACCATATTACTGTTCAGATACCATATGATTGATAATTTTTTCTACTGCTTCTCTGTTCGTCAGTCAACGATGTCAATATTTGATTATGGAAAGAAAATTAAAGTAATAAAAAATGCCCTTGTTCAGGTTCGGAGAGTTATTAACGTAGGTGTCTTGTTTTCCAATCTTTAAATAATCTCTTCTCATTTTTTGTCTTTCACTACGTCCTCTCTATTCATGATTTCTTCTTGTATGCTTTACCTCCGTCCGCTACATAATTTTCTTGCCTAATATGATCGGTTACCTTAATTTATCCTCATCATGTATTGGACTATGAATCTTCATCAGTTGTGGCATTTTTATTTTTATTTATTTTTTAATTCTATTACGTCTATTCTTCAAATTCAGTACCCACTCCCTCCTCTTTGTTACTCCCCCCTCTCTCTCTTTTTCTTTCTCTTATTTCTCTGTCTGTCTGTCTCTATCTCTCTCTTCTTCCTCTCTCTCTACGTCCCTCTCTAAATATTGATTCTCCCTCTCTTCTTCTCTTCTCTCTCTCTCTCTCTCCTCTCTACGTCCCTCTCTAAATTTGATTCTCCCTCTCTTCTCCTCTCTCCGTCTCTCTCTCTCTCTCTCTCTACGTCCCTCTCTAAATGTATTTATTCTCCCTCTCTTCTCTCTCCTCTCTCTCTACTTACTACCATATCCCCCTCCTCCTCTCTTCTCTCTCCTTCCTTACCAGTTCCTGTTTCTCACTCTCCTTACCACCATGTTCCCCTCTTCCTC